GGATTCTATGATTCTATGACTCTATAAATAAAGTTGTATTTTTTTTCCTTTAGGAAGATTGTAAACATAGTTATACTTGCATCTTAATTTCTGGACTTCTTAACTGAATTTCTTCTGATGGACTGTAACTTTATGTTCTGTACTGTTATGTATTTGCAGTTTCTAAGTTCATTTATAATGTGTTTTCAAGCTTTTGTGTACCACAGCTTTCAATTTTCTGCTTTTAAAATTTGAAAGTTATTTACTGCACTTCAGTAATGCTTAGCAGAATGTACTTCAGGCAGCCAGATAAAAGCAAAGCAAATGGGAAGAGAACAATTTGTACTCCTTAGTGGTGTAAGAAAATGTCTAAAAAGCTATTTAAAATGGAATGAAATTACATACTGGGTCATTTCTGTTATTTTCAAATGGATAATTTTTAGCATGGTCTTTTTGAATAAAGCATTTCTTGATATGCTTCTTGAAGGATCAAAGACCTACTAATGCATGTCTGTGAATTAGAAATTAAATCACTTGTCTTATCCTTTGAGAAACAACATAAACATCATACACTCTAAATGAGAGTGCTACCTGTAGTGTAATTGTCTCATTTGTCATCAGTGTGTCAGGATTTGTATATTCTATCTGACAGAATTAATGATGAAACAATTTATGACTCCTTAATTTTTTAAAAATTTTTTGTAGCACTTAAAGGGTTTTCAAGACTAACAGTTGAACACTAAAAAGAAATAAAAAATTCCTAAAGAAAAGTTTATATTTTTCCGTGTTTTCTGTGACAGACAACATCTTTTCTTTCTGCAATCAGTGGGATATCAGCAAGTGATCCAACAATGTACTGAAATAAATTAATTTCTAATCTTACCGGCAGTTATAGTTCTGCTGTTGAGCTACACAAGTTGCATTGTTTAAGCAAGGCAATAATTCACATGGATTCAGTATTTTCTCACAGAACTTGCCAGTGAATATTGGCAGACAGATACATGTCACATCCTATAAAAGAAAAGGAAATCAGAAATAATTATTTGTTGTACCCAAGGCAATATAGAAATTAATGTTTACGTCCATTACTATAGAGACTCTAACTAGGACAGGGTTTCATCATGTTAAACAGTCTACAAAGACAGAAAACAAAAAGTAGTCCTAGCCCCAAATAGGTTACAAACATAATTTAGGACAAGTGGAATAGGCCTTCCAGCACAGATTATACCAGAGAGTTGGTTTGCTAGTTGGAAATATACCAACTCTAAATTTGGCTGGCTATGTGATTTTATTACTGAATCAAGAAGGAGCTTTATAACTCGTTTAGGATTTTTCATCAGTTCTGAATTTTTTCCCGTGTAATGTTTGCATCTATCTAACAGTAATGGTGCAGAAGGTACACCAGATACCAGACAGTATTCACTAACTAGAGCAGGAAAGAAAAGTGTGTATTCTTTTTCCCCTTCAATATGAAGCACAGAGACTATGCTCTCTAAGCTGCTGAAAGACATCTGTCAGTCACTGCAATCTGTAATTTACACAGTGAGAACAGTAAATTATTTTACCAAAAAAAAATATTTCTTAGAGCTGGCACTCTCACCCTTATTTTTTTATACAATGTTCTTGATAGGCCTTTTGATGTCAGAAAGTAAAAGAAACATATATTAGAGTTTGTTCCTCCAGTGAAATTGGTAGCATGTAGGTGTTTCTTTAGAACTGGTCATAAGGGCATGATTGAGGAACTTTTAACATCTCCACAGATTTCTATATGTGTAAAAAAAACTACTACATCTGTTTGTCAGTAGAAATGATTGTACAAAATAGAATGTGCCAGTATATCTACCAGACAAAATATTTAGACATATTGTATAATTTAGAAATCTATCAATTTGTTCAGCAGTTTAGATGTCAGTTTTTTTCTGTCTCTGTGTAAGAGTATGTATCACTGGCATGTGTCACCTGAGATTTTGAACCCTTCTTTCACTATTTAGGTTTTGTATATTTACTACTATTTCTAGTAGTCATGCCAATGAAAGAACGTTGATATGCAGTTTGAAATATGACAACAAAGGAAGAAAGAAAAAAAAAGAAATCAACAGGAAAAAAATCACAGGAAAAGCAAGAATACGAAAGAAGCACTAGTTAATAAAGTTGTCTGATGTATCGTATTTTGTATCAGAAAATTTTATTAGAGAGAAACAAAAGGCTTCACAAAGGGCAAATCATGCCTGAACTAATCTGCTGGCTTTCTACAATGGAATGGTTGCATTGATGGATAAACGATGAGCAACTGATGCCATCTACCTTGACTTCTGTAAGGCCTTTGACGTTGTCTCACATAACACCATTGTTGCTAAATTGAACAGATATGTGTTCAATGAATGGACTATTCGATGGATAAAGAACGGCTAGATGGCCCTTTCCAAAGAGTTCAAATCAACAGCTCTGTGCCCAAAGGGAGACCAATAACAAGTGGTATCCCTCATGGGCCTGTAATGGGACAGGTACTGTTTAATATCTCTACTAATGACATAGACAGTGGGATTGAGTGCACCCTCAGAAAGTTTGTGATGACACCAAGCTGACTAGTGTAGCTGGTTCACTAAAAGGAAGAGATGCTATACGGAGAGACCTTGATATGCTTGAGAAGTGGGACGATGTCAACCTCATGAACTTGACAAGGCCAAGTTTAAGGTCCTGCACCTGAGTCAGGACAGTCATCAGTATCAGTTCCAACTGGATGACAAATGCATTAAGAGCAGCCATGTGGAGAAGGACTTGGTGATACCGGTCAATGAGAAATTGAATATGAGCTAGCAATGTGCACTTGCAGCCCAGGAAGCCTACTGTGCCCTGGGCTGCATAAAAAGAAGTGTGGCCAGCAGGTCAAGGAAGGTGATTCTTCTACTGTACTCCACTCTCATCAGACCCCACTTGGAGAATCATGTTCAGATCTGGGTACCCCAGCATAAGAAAGACATGCACCTCTTAGAATGAATCTAGAGGAGTGCCACAAAAATGGCTATAAAGGGAGGCTGAAAGAATTCAGATTGTACAGCCTGGAGAAGAAAAGGCTCTGGAGAGACCTTATTGAGTCCTTTCAGTACACAAAGGGAGCTTATAAGAAAGCTGGAGAGAAGCTTTTTACCAGGATCTGTAGTGACAGCACAAGGAACAACAGTTTTAAACTAAAAGAGAGTAGATTTGGAGTGGATTAAAAGACGACTTTCTTTACTATGAAGGTGGTGAGACACTGGAACAGATTTCTCAGAGAAGTTGTGGATGCTCCATCCTCAGAATTGTTCAAATTTAGGTTGGATGGGGCTTTCATATATAACCTGATATACTGGAAGATGTCCCTGCTGATGGCAGGTGAATTGGAACTAGATGGTCTTTAAAGGCCCCTTCCAACCCAAACCATTCTATGTTTCTATGTTCAAATAGGGAGCTCTGAAGTTTATACTTACATTTGGCATATTGATACATGAACCTCCGTTCTGACATGGCCTTGAAGAACATTCATTTATATCAATTTCACAGCTGTGACCAAGAAAACCAGCAGGACAATCACAAAAATATCCAGTCTGATTATATTGGCATATACCCCCATTCAGGCATGGCTGAGATGTGCAGGGATCACCAGATTCCTCACAAAATGGACCTACTTCAAATTTAAATAAATAAATAAATAAATACATACATAAAAAAAATTAGGCTCTGCTTGAGTGAATAATGCTTTTTGATATACCGTCCATAAATATTACCTTGTTATTATGTTGTATTTCCCCACTATTTATCATGAATTTTTCATATATTTATTGATTTTAATTTTAGGAGGGACTGAAAAGCTTTTATTTATTGTGGCTTTTCTCAAGCTGTCTATACTTTGAAGCTCTAGTTGCTGACTGGGACATTTGTAAACTATCACCATTTAAAAAACAAAGAACTTATAACATTTCTGTAATTTTTTTTTTTTTTTTTTTGTGAATAAACATGATAGAATTATGTGGGAATGACTAAACTCATCTGTAGTAAACAGAAGAGGAGAACTGAAATCATAATCCCAGGAGACACTGAACAGTCATTGAATATCTCTCTGGCAGCAGTTACTATTAAGGGAAGCTGAATCCACTGGACTTTCAGACCAAGGAGTTGGTTCCCATACCTGTTTATAGATCCAGCCAGTAGTGAAATTGAGTGTACTCTCTGGAGATGCACACTCAAACTCCTCCAAGGTTGGAGTTCACTAATCTCTCTGCATAGCTCAACAATTATGAGCTGCCTTTTTTTTCCCATAGCTTGTACTTTGGTACTCTTATTTAAACCACTTTCGTAACACAACCTTACAGATTACAACAGACACATTTTTCAATAATTTGCTGTAGCAATAACATTTATTCATAATAAATCTATTATGAAGTATTAGTATGTATTGATTCTGCATTTTGTTAGTCACTTGAATCAACAAAATTAAAAATAGAAATTAAAAAAAGATGTATAGTTTTGAAATGGTAAATAGTATACTTTTAACTTATAATTGTAAACTGCAAGGTAAATATAGCTAGTTAATTCTAAACCAATTAATAGATAAGTGAGTGAGCCTCTAAGAGTTTTCTTACCAACAGACCAGCTATATAGAGCAACTGTAAACATGTGGAGCAACATTTACCAGGAGATCCAAATATCACACTGTCTCCATTTTATACCAGAAAAGCTGGTGCAACAAACACTGTACAAGAAAATCCCATTAGCAGAAAAAGGGTCAAACCACAATTACCTTTTTATCAGGCAGTTCATTGCAAATAGTTAATCCAATGAGGTAAAATGGATTCGATCTATCTTTTAGAATATATTGTTCACTGCACTTTAGCATTAGAGGATATTCAAAGAATCTTTTGTTTATTTGTTGCTGTCCCTCATCACCACAGTAAGCAAATTACAGTAAAAGTATATTGCAACTTGCAGATGTTAGGGCTTGCAAATAGGGAAAGCTAAGAAAGCCATTCCTCAAAACAAGACCATTGACTGATATTGATGCATACGTAAGAGAGCATTTGTAACATTCTCCTTTCATTTGGCAAGAATGGTTACTCCTGTCTCACCAACGTTTTAAATAGGAAAAGACAAATCAGCAAAACAGTGATCCCAACTGCTCCACCCAAAAGAAAGCCAGAAAGTGTAGTTCCACAGGCCAAATGGATTAATGAGTTGTTCTTGCCATGTTTTGAACCCCTGAATCTATTAAATCCTCCCCATTTTTTCTGCCACCATTACCAACACTTCTTAACTTTTTGCTAAACAATAGCACTGGATGGGAAAGACTAAATGAACAAAATAACACAGAAAAATGAAGACCAGCTGGGGAAACCAGATGAAAGAGGTGTCCATTTTGGTGATGCTCTGATCATTTGTAGAAAAATTAGGAAATGTTCTTCTAAAGAAAAGAGATAGTGCAACATTGCTTTAGGGAACACTAAAAGCAGCTGAAAAAGGACTAGAGAAAAGTCTGAGAGGAGATAAGGAAATTTGTTACCCACAGCATGAGAGGTGTAACAAGGAAAAAATACATGGTTCAAGGATGGAAAAAAAGTGTTTAACTTCTTTTCTCCTTGACTTTGCCTTGCAAAGGGAAAAAGATATATTTTTTTTCTTTTTATTAATTTGGAAAAACTAGTCTGTTCAGTGTGAATCTGGTGCCAATTATGTAACTATGTCAAGGGGCTCAATTTAAATGAAGATACTGAGGTAGCAACTGCACTCATGGCCTAGAATACAAGTCATATCTTTCACAGGTCTATCTAGAGTAAATTAAATAAAAAACTCTACCAAGTATCTAATGTCTTTTAGGAAGAATTCAGTCTTGAATGGGAATGTTTCCTTAATCATTGACACTATTTATTTTTTTGACATTCTTCTACTTCAGAATTTCTTGTATTCAGCATCTCATGTGACAAGCAAGAGCAGTGATTTTTCACCTGAACATCCACGCCTGATAAGTTTGACAAGCCAGGTCAATAAATGGAATTCTGGAAAACTGGTATTTTGAGCTTCTTGTTCTATCATTCCTAAACCTGATATCACACAATCTGTTTTCTAAAAAAGATTGAAAAGTGACTTGATTACAGCTCTTGGATGGGGAAAATGTCAAGCATTAAAGGGATCATTAATTCAGTGGAGGAAAATATAACAAAAGTAAATGACTGAAGAGAGTAGCAAAACAAAATAAAGTTAGAAACACCTCATATATTTTTACCAGTGAGGTGATGTTGTGGTGAGTAGAGCCCGCCCTAGGCAGGGATCGGCGTGCGGAAGATCTCGCGATGTAACGGAAAGCTCAGACTGCCCACGAGGGGCCTTGTGGGTGTGGCTTGTCATATATAAGCAATTGCAGCGACGCAATAAACGCCATTTGCAGCATCCTTCACATTGAAGCCTGTGTCTGTGATGGTACCCAACAGTAGAGATTGGGTGGCAGCTATCCCGGGGATCGGGTGTCGGTAATGACAAAGTCTCTGTACCAGACTACTGTGAAAGGACTGCATTCTACAGTTGCTGATGTCTTCACATCAATGTTTTTTGAAAGATACTGCTTTAATCATGTAAAAGACAGAAGCCTTAATTTATAGGTAAGCAATGTAATAACCTTTGGTGAGAACAGATGAATAACTGGTCTTCTAAGCTTGCAAATCTATTTATCTACCTTGACTCAAAATGTGCACAGAACATCTTAATAGTTGTGTAAAATTAGGAATTCATTCCAGATTCCCACTTTGAAATTTACACATTTTGTCATCATCAGTTCCTCTTGTTTAGGTATGTTTAAATAAATACTTAACTTCATAGCCATGCGAACATTTACTGACCTCTTGAATGCTGCTGTTAGAAGCAATGTAGAGAGGGAACAGGATAAAACCAGATTTGTATAATCTGAAGTCAAATGCAAATTGCTCCCACTGAAGGAGAACAACATTTAAGCAATGAACAATGCAGCTAGGAACATTGGTCCAAATTGCAAGTGCATATTGAAAATGTTTGTACACATTCTGGACAGCTGAGACTTAAATTGAAAATAGTGCAGGGCAAGTATTTTTAACTGCATAGACTTGATGAGTAACCTTCTGTTTTGTTTTAATATCAATAAAAAAAATACAGGCATAGTATTTTCCATAGACACTGTATTTCTGTTGCCAACAATTTCAACAGAAGTAATCCTTCCCTCAGTCAGACCCAAAAGAAAATATTTGCTGAAAATACTGAAGTCCCTTTAGTGTTCAATGATGAATAATTAGCTACTCAAAGCTATGATATATTGTATAAATTCTCAGAAAATTAAATGGAGAAATAATGTTCTAAGGGGAGATAGCAGGTTCAGGAAACTTTAGTACGAAAAATACCTTAGTTATTAGCTTGATTGAATATCCTGATTAAAGAAGAAAATTCAAGAAATTAAAGGCATCAGCAGCAGGATCAGTTCACGATAGTCTTTCAATACAGTGAATTCTTGTTTGGTTTACTTCAATAAAATAAAAATTGTGGAAGAC